TAAAAGTTCATTAGAGAGGCTCTTGGACATTATATACTTGAGAATTACTTAGCCTATTTAAGGATCTTAAAAAACTTATATCTGTGTGAAAGCAAACTTGAAAACAGTTACAGACCATGGGCAAGCTACTGAAACCTAGCCCAGCTCTAACTTGTCTTTGTTTCTAATCCACACATGCATATCACTGCCAAGATTAATCCCTCTAAATCGCTCTCATTTTGCTCAAGAATTTTTAGTAATATTTAAGAGCTGGCACCAGTGAAGCTCTTAACCATGTGCTCAGCATTATATTGAACAATTTAAATAAAACTGCTTATTTAATCCTCCCAGTAACACAATGAGGTAGGTTCTATAGTTCTCCTAGAGATGAGGAAACTTTGATTTAAAGAGATTTAATAACCTACCCAAAGTTGCTGAGCTTCTGAGTGGCAATGCTAAAATTTGAAACCTAGGATTAAGCTGAAGCTCTCAACCCACTGCATTATTTCCGCAGATATACCATTTGGCTAATAATCACTTGCTTAAAAACAACAGTTTATTGGGCACAACTACAAGGCACATTAAGAATTTCTGGGCAGTTCTCTGAATCACAGCAGGTTTAGGATCCCCTACAAGTTAACTTCCTATTTCCTACAGAATGAAATTGATTTCTTATATCTAAACTCCTCTTAGCAGGATTCTAGGGTAAGGGCAAAATTCCTAAAATTGGCCTACAAAGCTCTTTATAGTGCAGTACTTGATTGACCTTTTTTGGTCCCATCTTGCCCCAAGTCCTCTTTCTGTTTCGGTTTCTCCTATTCATCAAGGTTTCCTTCACAGGGTATTTGCACATACTGTTCTTTGGACCGTGAAACTCTTCCCTATTTCCTTAATCTAGTTAACCTCTGCTCTTCTTCAAGCCTCAGCATAATGGATATTTGCTAAGAGAATCTTTTCTGACCTCTCTGCCTAGGTCAAATTCCTAACTCTAATCTCTCATAACACTATTTACCATATTTGTAATTTAAAAAATGTATTTAGCCTTGGCTGGTTTGGCTCAAAGGTTAAAGTGTTGGCCTGCGGACTGAAGGATCAAGGGTTCAATTCCAGTCAAGGGCACGTACCTGGGGTGCAAGAGGCAACCAATTAATGTCTGTCTCTCTGTCTCTCTCTGTCTCTCTCTCTCTCTTTCTCCCCCTCCCTCCCTCCATTCCACTCTATCTAAAATAAAATACAATAAATGGAAAAATATCCTCAGGTGAGGATTAACACCAATAAATAAATAAATAAATAATTTTTATGATTATCTCTCTCTCCCTCTATAAACTGTAAAAACTCACAAAGGTAGGGACTGTGCTTATTTTTGCTCATTATTGTATCTCGTGTCTAGCTTGGTGCTTGTTCAGTAAATATTTGTTAAAGAATTAATAAATTCAAGGCTTTTTAACTATTCCCTACTTAACCAGCCAGCCATATTGTTCACTTTTACTCATCAGAGACCCAACTCTTTTATCTACATCTTTTCATCCTTATCCAGACCCAAGATCCTTCGCCACCTCCTCACCTAAATAATACCTCATATTACTACAAGGTAGAGCCTAAATTTCCCTTGTTTCACATAGCTCTCTTTAATGCACCAGCCCATAACAGGCTCCTGTAAACTTCTACATCATTTTGTATTTCTATGCCATTCATTTGGCACTTCATAATATGCTGCCGTGTAGCATTATGAAATATTTCATATGTAAGTGCCTTGTTTTATTTTTTATTTTTAACTTAAGCATTATTAGGTAGTTTGCATGTTCCTGAAGAGTAGTTATAATTTGTTATAGGAGTACCCAGGCACATCATAAATTCTCTGGAAACATCTGCTGAATGAATTAATGAAGAACTTTTTGTGGCCGGCAGTGTGAACTCAGATTGCAGGTTATCTCCAAATTTGGTAATTGACAATTCTCCTTGGAGGGCACCTGGATATTTTATACTCTCTTTGTGGAATACCTTCAAGGTCTCTTTTGGCAGACAGTTCAAAACAATTGTGACAAGAGAACATTAAAGTAAGATAACTATCTTAAATTTCCTGACATATTTAGAGCAGTTCCATACTCAGGTATTTCTAAGTCCATTACCAAATCATTAATACTATATTCCATAACTCTTTAGGAAAACTCTATGTTGTCAATCCTTGTTCTTGTCCTCTGAAGTTAGGAGAATCTTTAAATATTTTCAGTAGATTAATTTCTATTTCAAAATATATCACTGAGGAAAATATTTTTTTGGCTGTAGTCATGTTGTTACTCTCTTGGCTGAACACCATTTACCATAAACCTTAACCCCATTGAAAAATGCAGGAGTGCATTTTAACTTTTTTTTTTTGTCAGACTAAGATCTATGTAATTGATATTTTTTCCTTCTAAATCAGAGAGTAAAATATAATTCCTATTATTCTGAGTCTTATTTGAAAATACAAGAGCCAAGACAATATTGACAGAATATTTAAATTCAGGGTATATGTGTCATCATTTCAAATGCAATGAATTAATTTATTTTGTGAGTTTTATTAATCATGATTTTTGCCCATACTCATATAAAATATTTTTAAAAATTAAAGTTTGATAATAAAAAATTATCAGTTATCTATTTCTCTTTCAATATCCTATGAACATTTTATATGTAGCAAATTACATTTGTTAACAGCTTTTTTGAGATGTAATTCACATACCATAAAATTCACTCATATTAACTGCACAATTTAATTAGTTTTAGTATACTTACAGAGCTATGCCACCATCACCAGAACCTAATTTTGTTTTACTTTTAAAACTGAAATATAATTTATAAAGTTGTATTACCATCACCACTTGAAGTCTGGAACAGTTTCATCACCCCAATAAGAAACCTCATATCCTTTGGCAGTCTCTCCCCATTTCTCTCCAATCTTTACAGCCCATGGCAACCACTAATCTAATTTGTCTCTCAATTTGTTTATTCTTAACATTTAATATAAATGGAATTGTACAATATGTGTTTTTTTGTGACTGGCTCTTTTCGCTTAGCATGTTTTCAAAATTCATCCATGTTGTCCCATGTATCAGAACTTCATTCCTTGTTATCATCTAAAGGTTTCTATTGTATGGATACAACACATTTGGTTTATTCAAATTGATGGGTATTTGGATTGTTTCCACTTTTGGGCTATTGGGAATAATGCTGCTACAAATATTTGCATATAAGTCTTTGTGTAGACAAATGTTTTTATTTCTCATGGGTAGATACTAAGGAGTGACACTACTACATCAGGTGCTAATCACTCCTAAGATGAAAAATAGCATTTCCTTTTTTTCTATTTCCAAGGATTTGTGACAGCCAGGAAACAGAATTTTCATGCAAATGCTAATATCAAATCAGTCTTTTCAAAAAAAATAATGTTAATCTGCACACAGCTTTGCTATCAAAAAAAACTGTATCATATTACTTTCCAATTTGGGGCTCATATAGAAATTCTCAGATGAGAGGAGAATTCCTTCATATCTAGTGTAAATCATAAAACTACATGGAGTTTGCACTGGCCTATTTAATTAACAAGCTAGGATTAAATTCTATTTTTTGACCGGAATGCTTATATCCATCTCCTGTGGCTGACAATTGCTTAAGAGATAAATACACAGTAAGGGAAGGTTTACACAGTAGGAGGAACAATAAATAGGAATTTAAAATATCAAACACCCTACTTAAATTAAGCACTTAGTTCCTCCCCTAGTGGGGGCCTGTTTCTCATTTCATAAGAAAGAAAGGTGAAGCATTAACTATAATTCGTCATGTAAATTCCCAAAGCCTTTCATAAAAGCATCTTTCAGAAACTGGAGGCTAAATAAACTTCTGGTCACAAGTTATCCCCGCCCCCCACAGTGTACACTCCAGTTCAAATATATTCAGGAAGCAAACTTTAAACAGAGAATTGAGAGCTGATTGTAAAATTCTACATAAAGGGGGGCTTAAAACACACTTTTTAATTTAAAGAAAAATAAAATATCTTGCAGCAGAAGCTAGGCATGATCAAGTGGAAACTACCAGACGTCCTACCAATCACAGCACTAGAGAACGCCACAGGTCGTCCCAAAGACGCATTCGTTTTAGCCAACAGCTCCTTCCCCCCGCCAAAGCTGTCCCTAGAGCGTCAGATAATAACCCAATCAGTGGTTGATTTTTCCCTGTTGATCACCCCACCCGGACACACACACACATCCACCTGCTTGGAGGTGTCAAGGCGACTGGAAATGGTTAACAGTGACCAGTAGCGGAGAGAGAAACAAACACCCCCTGACAACCCACAGCTGAGTAAGCAAGAGCTGTTTATTCACGAACGTGTTCCATTTAGAGGCTGTCGGAGAGCCCTTGAAAGCCCAGGCACATTTTGGAAGGTTCGCAGAGAGGGAGAGATCATCTTTTCTCCCCGCACCCCACCCCTAAACACACACTGCCTCGGGTGGGACCTGGCTGGTCAAGGCAGCCCCTGCCCACCCGCCACACAGGAATAACATCAGCACTAGAGCATCCGACCCCTCGAGGGGGTTGTGTAACTCCCCCAAATGGGCTCAGAGGCTGCAGGGCTGGCCCCAATGCCGAGGGCTCCATAAGTCACTGGTGCCACCCCAAACCCCGCCACGATGACGGATGCCGCGGCAGGGGTTGGAGACCCGAGAAATGGCCCTTGAGCCCCCTCCCCTCACCTGGTCCCACCTGAGGGCAAGGGCTGAGGAGGTTAGAAACAGGCAGGGAGGGCTGACCTTGTTGCTACTGACAGTGGAGTTGCACATCCTGCTGCTTCCTGGAAAGCGGCCCAAGGCACATTTTCCCCCCTGGAGGAAGGAAACGGGAGGACGCCGGCCGGGCGGCGACGGGCGCGGCGGTGGTCCGGGCGGGCTGTGCAGCTTCCAGCGGGGACGGTCCGAGGACTACATCTCCCAGGCTGCTCTGGGCCGCCCTGCGTCGTGACCCCGGCGCGCACGGAGGCGGTGACGCTTACCTCACAGAGGTAGCTCCTCCGCCGGCAGCAACTCGGCGCCGGCGGTCCATGGACCGGAACCCCGGGCCGACGGGCAGGAACCCGGGCCCCGATTGTCGCCTCCCCGCCACAAGCTCCTCCTCCTCGCTCCCCGCCGCCTCCTCCAGACGCCCGCAGGCCGCGCACCGCCGCCGCCGGACTCGCGGAGCTGCCCCGGGAGGCTGGGTGGTGGGTTCGCGGCCGCCGCGGGACTGAGGCCTACTCCGCCGCCTCTCAGTGCTATTGTCCCTGGGCCCGGTCCTAACCGGGTCCACTGGAGAGGCGAGTGCTCCGGCTCCACGGAAGATGCCGGACCAAGCCCTACAGCAGATGCTGGACAGGTATGGGCAACTTTGAGGGAGCACGCGAGCCGTGGATAGTCGCTCTGGCCCTGCCCGCGCCCGGCCTCGAGGCTCCCCGTAAGTGGAGCCGGACGGCGGGGAGGAGTTCCACGGCCCGGGGGCCGGGTGAGGGGCAGAAAGTTTGGAGTCTGTACTTGGGGGAGGACAGAGCCGGCGGCCTGGGTGCGCAGACTTAAAGCGAAACTTAGAGAAGGAGTGGCCTCTAGTATTGTTGGAACGCAGTTTTGAAATGAGAGGGACTCGTATTAGTTTCTTTTTGATTTTGCACACCCCCCCCCCCCCCCGTGTTGTAACGTGTTTGTCAGCGGTGTCACTGGCAGGAAGAGCCAGGCTGTCTTTCAAGGGAATGATCCCCCTGCAATTAATGTTAAGACTCCCTCCAAAAACCAAGGATAAGCAATCGTTTGGAAAGCCTGGTAGGCCGACTTCATCCCTCCTTCCCCCACATCCCACCCCCACCCCCCTACTGTAAGGTCAAGAATATCCGCAAGAGAGCTTTAACGGTCGGACCAAAGTAGAGGTTATGGAAAACAGCCACAGAAGCCCAACACTCAACACAGTGTATTGTACGATTCGTTGTGTTCACGAGAAAGTTTCATCCTATGTTGGGGCCAGTTGCCCATTCCTGGGGGGCTCCTGTCGGTAAAACTTTTGATGAAATCGGATGTATCGCCCTCTGCTGTTCAACTTCTAGTCCTTGAGCTCTACCTTGAGTTTTGGGAACCTTAATCCACAATTTTCCCTACCCTGGTCTTAACTTCCTGGCATAGCCAACGCCACAGGCTAATGCATAATGTTTATGGTAGCTCACAACTCTGGATGGATGACTTGTCACCTAGTTCAGGACGTAGTACTGCTTTTTGTGTTGAGCAAAGGTCCAGCTGTAAGGTGTTAAATGAGAGGCCTCCCTTAATTGAGATTATACCTAGTTAGACGCAGTTTGAATCTGCCATGTCCAAAACACAAATCACCGAAGAGTGCAGTTCCTCCCAGAGTGAGACATTTCCTTTGGAGCTTGGAATTTTGAGACATCTAAGTTAATAAAAATGATGTTGCTGACTTTTTTCAGTTGGAATGATCCAGTGATTCATCTAGCTGACCTTGAGGTCAGCATTCAGGTCAGGTTGTATTGACAGCTTTTTTTTCCCCCCTTTCAAAACCACCCCTGATCCTGGAGTTCTTCAATTAGATGCAACTCTAGTTCATGATAAGTACATTTTTAAAGAGTTATTCTGGCCCTGGCCAGTTTGGCTCAGCGGTTAGAGCGTCGGCCTGCGGTCCAGAGAGACTGGGGTTCAGTTCCACGCTAAGAGCACTTACCTTGGTTGCGGTTTGTCTCCAGCCCTGGTTGGGTCGTGCAGGTGGCAGCCACTCGATGTGTCCCTTTTACATCGTTTCTCTCCCTCCCACTCTATCTGAACAAAAAATGGAAAAATGTTCTCAGATGAGGATTTAAAAAAAAAAAAGTTATTCTGGATCATTTCATACCCTTTAAAACAATATATAATGTGCTCACTTTCTGAATACAGCCCTTTCGGTGCAGAGGAAAAGAACAGACATTGCTCTAGCACAGAATGACAACTTTTTAAATGTAAGCTACAAGCTCCAGGAAGGCAGAAACTTAGTCAGCATTATTTATTTTGAATTTAGAACAGAGCCTTGTACTCCAGAGGTCTAGTAAATATTTGTTTTATAAACAAATGTGTGACTTTTTTTGTCTTTTTCCCCAGTTGTCTAGGGGTCTGACAAGTTACCAGGTTTTTTGTTTGTTACACTTTAGAATATGGCAAATTGCATAGGACTACTAAAATATGCCCAGAGGAGACCACCTCCTGCCATTGCCAATTAGTCAGATGAGACTCCATTCTGGTGCAGGGCATTTTGTAATATTTTTTTCCAATAAGGGCCTGTTGGTTTCACTTTTATGTGGGTGACTTTTATAAAAGTTTGCGTGTCCAAAAGCTGACCTGGTTTTCCTATGCTCTTTGGAGATTTCCATAAAAGTGAAAAGCCAAGGAGGTCTAATGAGGCATTTAAAACTTCTCAACAGAAACTTGGAAATTCTGGTTGCATTTACTAAAGCATGTGACTGTAATACTGGCTTACCCTCATCTTTATCTTTTTGACATACCTCAAGGTAGATTCTTAAGATAGCATTCAAAGGCCTTTATTATCTATTTTTGAATCAGTAGTTGGCAACTTGCCTCCACATTAGAATCACCTGGAGGAGCATTTTATTTATTTATTTATTTATTTATTTATTTATTTATTTATTTATTTTTTAATTTTTTTATTTTTTATCCTCACCCGAGGACATTTTTTTCCATTTTTTGCACAGATAGAGTGGGAGGGAGAGAGAGGAAGAGAGAGAGAGAGAGAAACATCGATGTGAAAGGGACACATCGAGTGGCTGCCACCCGCACGACCAACCAGGGCTGGGGACAAACTGCAACCGAGGTACATGCCCTTGGCGGGAACTGAACCCGGGTCTCTCCGGACCGCAGGCCGATGCTCTAACCACTGAGCAAAACCGGCCAGGGCTGGAGGAGCATTTTAAAGTATGAATGGGTGGCTGGCTCAAGACCAATTAAATCACAAATTTCTGGAGGATGAGTCAAAAGCTTTCCAGGTATTTCTAGTGTGGATGAAAAAACACTACCTTAAACCCTAAGGTATTATTTCATAAGAGAGTACAGTTCAGTGAGAAAAGCTTGGACTACTTTAGAGACCAAAATCTTGAAATTCTCATTTTGCCACTTACTAGCTATGTGACTTTGGAGTTAAGTTCTGAGGCTGTACATCCTCACTTATAAAATGGGAATATTCTTTCTTGCAGGATTATATCAAATGAGAACAGGTGTAAGCACTTCATAAAACAAAATGTTATTCATATATTAGACACACAGAAGTTACTTAACATTCTAATGTAACAAACCACTGTGGCAATTTTCTCCCTATCTCTTTCATAGTTACTGTATTAATCTGGGCTGGCTTAATAGGCAAATTGAATACAAAGATACTTGATGTGTTCATTTGAGGAATACTGACAGGCCCCAACAGATTAAAATGTCAGCCTGTTGGGGCCCATAATTCTTGCCATGACTTTGGCTTCCCCCCAGCTTGGTCTATGGGTGACAGTTTTTGAGGGACAGAATTTAGTCCTAAACCTGTCCAAATGCTGATTTCTTCAGTGCAGGTTTTATCCTTGAGAAAAGTAAGAAAATATACATAACACGTATTGTTCTTTTGATTCTAGGTTAAAAGTTAGGTGTTTTATAGTGAATTAAACATTTGTATTTATTGAATTTACTTAATAAATAGTGAGTACCTACATATGCTCAGTATCATTCTAGGCCCTTGATATATGGTAGTGAACATAACCAAAAAATGCTCAAATGGAGCTTTAATTCTAGTGAGGTTTGTTTCATAAACTGTTAAATAAAATGAAGATGATGTTTAATTGTAACATGAATGGTATATTCCGTTTTTATACCACTTAGGTCTTTCAGGTTTTTTAAACTAAAGGCAACTTATATCTGAAGTTGGATTGCCTTGTCTTTTGTGAATAACTAAATTTAGTTTAGCAATTGCAGTATTTGTACGTGAAAAGTGAGTATTTATATCTACATATATATCTATAGATATATATTTTGCTTTTTTTTTTTTGCCTTTCATTTTTATAAACAATAAACAACTGTTTATGTAAACTTATTATTTGAGCCTTTTAAATTGAGGGTAATGTGAAGAGAGGTGGTTTTTTAGTGTCTTGAATGATTTGGGGTCACAGGTCATTCTTCTGAAATGATAACCATTTACAAACTCAAACCCTTTATGTTAAGCTCTCGGAACCTTGGTCAGTTTTTCTTTCGTTCATTACCACACTTTTTTTAAGGAGGCATCTATCATCTATTACTCTGTCACCATCTGCTTTCTCATTTTCTCTTATATTTCTCAAAATTAGAATTAAATGTATAGAGAATACAAAGAATATGATAACAAACTGCAGGTATGGACCTCAAGTTCCTGCTGAGAAATGCTTCTGGAACTTGACTTTTGTGTACCCTGTCTCACAGTAAACACTCAGGAATTTGTTGAGGTTGTTTTGCATCACTTACTTGCACCTGGTGAGTAAGCAGGGAATGTAGCCAGTGTCCCCAGAACAGTCAGATGAAGGAAAAGCAAGGAGAATAATCTGCTCCCTGCCTGCCTCCTGCAGTGCAAAGTGAATTAGAATCTTCACTCTGTATGTGTGTTATCAACCACAGATGTACATTCCTTTGGAGAATATTTGGAGTGTCTTCTGATTTATATAATCTTAGTTTCCATTAAAGCAATTTCTCATTCTCTTTGTTAGTTGACATCTTTTCCTCAATCATCTCTATCCCATTTTGATAATCACAGAACAATACCTAGAAATAAATCATTAGTAATTAGTTATATTTGCTTCCATCTGTATGTAAAAAGTAGAAACTTTACAAAGTCCCCTTTGACCGTTATCTTCAGTCCCATATTATCTCACCATCCCCATCACACTATCATATTCTTCTAGTCTTCTTTGTTTAATGTTACATAGCATATATAACATAGTTTTGGTTTTGTTTCTAAAATTTAAATCAGTCTACATTTGCTTTTTCAAATATTATTTTGAAGTCTGACATACAGCAATTAAAAAGAATATATATATATGTAATACCCATCTTAACATACCTCTCTTTAATTCATTCCCCTATTTATGACATTAAGGTTTTCATTTTCTATGTATTATCTATCTTTATAATTTGATTATCATTCCCCTTTCTTATCCTTAGCTCTACTAAAAGTATACTGAAGGACACCAATAATTAATCAGTAAATCTGATGACTTTTGTTTCTTGGTCCTCATGTCCTTTACATATGTGTAATAAAGATGAAACTGATCCACCACCCCCTAACGTCTTAAAACTATGTTCTGTTACACACTGCTATTTATCTTTTGCTTT